CTACTTTGGCAAATCCCCATGATATGACTACATTTATTTGTAGTTTTTGTTCAAAAATAACAAAAGGAGGCGTTTATAGGGTGAAACAACATCTTTTTGGAGGTTATAGAAATACAACATCATGCAAGAAATGTCCGGACCATGTGAAGGAAGAAATTAAGGAGCACATGTCCAAAAAGAGGAGATCAAAGAACAAAGAAATCTTATACCTGATATTGATGACGAAGATTTCGGTATGGATGATGAGGACGAGGATGATTTGGTCCTAACTAGTTCGAGTAAGAGACCTTCTAGTCAAAGGCCAAGTTTAGACCCTAAGAAGCCAAGACAGAAGGGTCCGATTGATGCATTTTTTACTCCTAATCCAGAGTCAGTAGTTCTGAATCGAAAAAATGAGAAAGGCAAACAAACGACACTTAATGAAGCTTACAAAAAGGAAATGAGGGAGCGCACCGTACAAAGAATAGCGCGGTGGTTTTATGATTCCGGTATTACTTTGAATGCTTGCAATTACGAAAACTTTGCGCCTATGGTTGAAGCAATAGGACAATTCGGCCCTGGACTAAAAATACCATCTTATTATGAGCTTAGAGTGCCATTGTTGAAAAAAGAGTTAGAAGCAACACATGAATTGATGAAGAGTCACAAGGAAGGGTGGGCCAAGGTTGGATGTACTATCATGGCGATGGATGGACCGATAGGAGAGAGAGGACATTAATTAACTTTTTAGTTAATAGTCCTAAAGGTACAATCTTTATTGAGTCCATTGATGCTTCATCTTATGTCAAGAATGGAAAGAAAATGTTTGAGTTACTCGATGATTTTATCGAGCGCATTGGAGAAGCCAATGTTGCACATGTCGTTACTGATAGTGCTTCAGCAAATGTAATGGCGGTAAGAAATCAAATTCTTGCTCCTCTTCGAATTAGTATTATGTTAAGTTAAACATTTCAAGTAGGCTAACTAATATAATATGTTATCTTCTTATTTTATTTTGTTACTAGGGAGATTATTAGAAGCAAAACGACCAAATTTATTTTGGTCACCATGTGTTGCTCATTGCTTAGACTTGATGTTGGAGGATATATTCAAGATCCCAAATATCCGTAGCACATTGAAAAGAGGCATGGAGATCAGTAATTTCATTTATGTTCGCCCATGATTGTTAAATATGATGAGGCAATTTACGAATCAGAAGGAGTTAGTTAGGCCAGCTAAGACTCGCTTTGCCACAGCTTGCATAACATTATCAAGCATACATCGTCAGAAGAATAACTTGAGGAAGATGTTTACTTCTGATGAATGGAAAAATAGCAAATGGAGCAAGGAACAACAAGGCAAGCGAGTTGTTCAGACAATATTGATGGCATCATTCTGGAATACAATTGTATTTGCTCTTAAAGTATCGGGCCCTTTAGTTTGAGTGCTTAGATTGGTGGATGGTGAGAAGAAGCCTCCTATGGGATATATTTATGAGGCCATGGATAAAGCTAAGGAGGTCATTGCTAAATCCTTTAATGGTAAGGAAGACAAATACAAGGACGTTTTTCAAATCATCGATCAGAGATGGGATCTTCAGTTGCACCATCCTTTGCATGCCAGGATATTATTTAAATCCAGAATTCTTCTATTCAAATCCGAACATTACAGAAGATGATGAAGTTGTTAATGGGATGTATGCATGTGTCACAAGAATGGTCCCTTCTCCAGAAATACAAGACAAGATAATTTAGGAATTGACCAAGTACAAGAACGCTGAAGGGATATTCGGACAACCCATGGCGGTTAGACAAAGAAAAAGAAATAAAAGATCTCCAGCTAATATTTAATGGTACTAATTTATGATGTTTGGTTCATTACTCGGTTGAAAGTTATTAACATAGTTTAGTTCAATACTTCAATTTAATAGTGGAATGGTGGGATGATTTTGGAGTATCAACTCCAAACTTGAGGAAGTTTGCTATGAGAATTCTAGGTCTTGTAGTGCATCTGGATGTGAATGAAATTGGAGTGTTTTTGAACAGGTTAGTTCTTTATGACACTGAGAAATATGTTTTTAACTTCTTGATTAGAAACTTAGAAGTATTGTTATAGAACCTTTTTCTTTTATACTTTGCAGCTTCATAGTAAAAGAAGGAATAAACTTGCACAACGTCGTCTAAATGATTTGGTTTTCATAAAGTATAATAGAGCATTGAAACGACGACATAACATGCGGAACACAATCGACCCTATCTCTTTAAAGGATATTGATGATAGTAATGAGTGGTTGACAGGGAGAATGGATAGTGATTTTGATGAGGATAATGATCTTGTCCTTGGTGATGACTCCTTAACATAGGGTGATGTTTCGAGAGCTGCTGGAGCAGAAGAACCTGCCTATCATTCTAGAGCAAGTACGTCAAGGTCAAGAAGTAGGACTACGACTGGAGCTTCAAGTGCTTCTCAATCCACACCCATACAATTGATTGATGATGAAGATTACACCGAGGAGGAAGATGCAGATGGCTACAAGTCTAATGATGAAGAGAATGAAAATGATGAAATTGAAGGACTCTTTAGTGATGATGAGTTTGATCATTAAATTTTCATTTTGAACTATCATACTTATACTAGTTTAGGATCATTTTCATGTTTTTGTGGACAATTGATTCTTTATGCTAAGATCTTTGATGTTTTCTAATCTTGTTTGGTTTTTATATGTTTTATATGTGTGTATATATATTTTTATTTGTTTTTATATATAGTGCACCTCACATAAAAAAGCCCGCGCTTTTTTTTCGCCTCGCACTTAAGCTCCAGAGGTCTATTGAGCTTTTGTGCGCCTCGAGCTTTTTAAATCACTATTCATAAAAAGTCGAAAATATTTTCAACATTCTTGACCACATCAAGAAATACCTCAACATCCATCCTACCATTGAAAGTTGGGAGATCCTTCTTCATCTTGAAGTCAGTATTCATACATCCTCTGTTTTGGTTCGAGGCATCCCTAATTAAACTTGGATTTTGTTGAAAAAATTATCTTCATCATCAGAGGAATCCAATTCTTGATCCCTTAGATGAAATTCTTGGTTTCTTTGGTCTCGAATCACTACATTTCTTGTTGCTCCAGGAGTTCTAGTATTGGTCTTTGGTTTGCTCTCCCTCTGTTGTGAGCTTCATTTCTATCTCCCAACGGTTTCATAAATCAGATTCTGATTTGTAGAAAGAACTTCCATTTGCTTAGAAATATTCTCCAGAAGTCCATGAATGTACATTGGCTCGTAATTCACCCACGGAGTCTTCTACCAACAGCAAGCGTTCAATGGTCGACTTTGGGGAAAGAACTTCTGTTGCTTGAGGATCCACTGTGAGTCCTCTATTGGAATGTGTTGTGCTCTTTTTAGCCAGCTAAGAAATTTTTAGGGCTATGATAGACCACCAATAGTGCACAAGTATGCTAGGAGGGACAAGAAAGGAATTGTACTGGGATAGGGAGACACGAAGTAACCGTTTTAGGAGTAAGTGGGACCAGGAATCAGTTTGGGAGTGAGGGACGAATAGATATAGGTGGATGAGGGAAGGGAATATGGATTATGCTTTTTGTCTAGCCAGTTTTTAGGAGGATAGGAGGAGAGTTTACCCACCCTCACGAATAGGTGGGGTGTTTCTTGTAAAGCCTACGGGCTCCTTGCTTGATAATCAATAGAATTGTGAGGAGATACCTCTCTCCAGCCGAATTACTACAGCCACTGGCAATTCCTGAGCGCATATGGGAAGATATTACTATGGACTTTATGAAGGGACTTCTGAAATCTATGGGGCACGACACTAGCTTTGTGGTTGTCGACAGACTAAGTAAGTATGCACATTTCATTCCCCTTTGTCATCCGTTCACGGCAAAAAACAGTAGTTGTGGCCTTTGTCAAGGAAGTAGTTAGGCTACATGGATTCCCACAATCCATTATATCCGACAGGGACAAAAATTTTTTAAGTCACTTTTGGACAGAGTTGTTTCGCTTACAGGGAACGAAGCTAAAAAGGAGTACAACTTATCACCCGCAGAGTGACGGGCAAACAGAGGTGCTTAACAGATGCCTAGAAACTTATTTGCGATGTTTCTATGGAGAATCTCCACGATCGTGGGGAAATTGGCTCTCGTGGCAAAAATTTTGGTATAACGCCACCTTCCACAGTTCTTTGGGAATTACCCCATTCCAGGCCGTCTATGGTCGTGCCCCCCCGCCTCTACTGTATTATGGAAGTCAGAAAACGGCGAACGCCACCTTGGATCAACAATTGGCTGACAGGGATCAAGCTCTCATATTCCTCAAGGACAACCTACTGCGGGCGCAGACACGAATGAAGAAACTAGCAGGTCACCACCGCACAGAGGTGGAATTTGAAGTAGGTGATGAAGTCTTTTTGAAACTTCGGTCCTATCACCAGAAGTCATTAGCGAAAAGGAGAAATGAAAAGCTCTCAGCCAAATTCTTTGGCCCCTATAAGATTGAGAGTCAGATTGGTAAGGTGGCGTATCGGTTGGCTCTACCGTCGGATGCCACAATCCACCCAGTATCGCAGCTCAGAAAAGCTGTTGGAACCAACTTAGCCGTCCAACATATTCCCCCTCAATTGACAGAAGAGTTAGAATGGCAGGCAGAACCAAAAGAAATCTTTGCAACCGGCGTGATTGAAGAGACGGGTGTGTTGGAAGATCTTATTCGGTGGAAAGGCTTGCCAGAGGAGGAAGCTACATGGGAATCGTATGCTGATATGCAACTCCAATTCCCTGATTTCCCCCTTGAGGACAAGGTGGAGCTGACGGAGGGGGAAGTTGATAGACCACCAATAGTGCACAAGTATGCTTGGAGGGGCAAGAAAGGAATTGTACTGGGATAGGGAGACACGGAGTAACCGTTTTAGGAGTAAGTGGGACCAGGGATCCGTTTGGGAGTGAGGGTCGAATAGATATAGGTGGATGAGGGAAGGGAATATGGATTATGCTTTTTCTTTAGCCAATCGTTAGGAGGATAGGAGGAGAGTTTACCCACCCTCTCGAATAGGTGGGGTGTTTCTTGTAAAGCCTACGGGCTCCTTGCTTGATAATCAATAGAATTGTAAGGAGATACTGTTAGAACCCGAAATATATTGAAAGATAAAAGATAAACGTACTACAATAGCTACCAAGTATTAGAGGTACTTGGACCCTCCCCTCTTGAGATATCACTCGAGCCAAAAACATACTCACTAAATTGGATCCCTTCATCCTTACACCCACACTCTATTTATAACACTCTCCCTAACTACTTTCCTATCTAATTACTAAGGTACCCTCAATACCCTAATAATATCCCTTTATTACCCTACGGACCAATCCTATCATTACCCGCCCCTTAAAACACACCTTGCCCTCAAGGTGTGGTTAAACAAAAACTTTTATTATTTTTATTTTTATTTTTTATAACCCGCACAAGAATTTGAAACCTAGCCTTGCAAAACTCAAATTGAATCGGCTGCTATGATGGGGTGGTCACAGGACATCAGTTGAAGGTAGCAGCATGCACAAAATGGTGTGGCTGCTACTTTGTGCAGGCGATGGTTGACGATCGGTGATGGGTAGCGGTCAGCAACGGTAGCCGCTGCGGCAGGCGATGGACAGCGATGGTTGAAGGTCGGTGACGGACAGTGGTGGTCGATGGTTGACGACGATCTGTTTTGGACCTTGGTTGATGATGGTAGTGTCGAAGATGCGAGCTTGGAAGGGGGGAAACCACTTCGCAAGACGCCAGTGGTGGCTAGTCGGCGGCGGCAGCGTCGTGCAGGTGGTGTGTATACAGACAGGAGGGGTACGGCGGCTAGGGTTTCTCTGCACGTGGGTAGGGGATGCCCACTTGGGTCAGTTTTTGGGTTAGACCTAGGGGACAACCTGGCCCAAAACTCATACATCAAAACATTCACTATTTTTGTTTTTCTAAAGAAATGGCCCCAGGAACTTTATTGAATTTAAGAAACTCAGCCCAATTACTCCATTCTTTCCCGAACCTTCTCCCTTAATGTGACCATTAGGGTTCCTTCTCCTCCCTTTCTTTTGTGACCCACCCCGTTGAACGGTTTCTTCAAGAAGCTTCCATCGATGCCTCCACCAAGTCTCCTTCTCCGACCACATCTGCCATGGTCGCCAGCGATGGCCTCTGTCGGCCATTTTTCTCACTTTCTTTTCCTTTTTTTCATGATTATTTACCTTCTCATAAGCTTTGCGGTTGTTGATGCTTCATCCTGTACAACGTCTTTGACTCTTTCGAGCCTTCACCTTTCGCCATAAAATCGATAATGGCCCTCGGTTTTTCTGAACTCTAGCCTTCCCAATCTTCTCGCGCCTGATCTCCGAATTTCGGCAGCCTTCGACGAGTTCATCTATCATTGAGCTTGAGCGAACATATAAAGTTTCGAGCACAAATCGATGTGTTATTTTCTTTCCCTTCTTTTGATTTTCCTTTGGTTGTTCCAACCTTGCTTCCCCGTGAACGGATTTTTGCTTGCTCTCCAACTTTTTCTTCTCTAATCATTGTGTTCTCATCTCTATATGGTCGTGTCATCTTCACTGATATAATCTCTTCCTCTGTTTTCTCTAGTATCTCCTTGTTTTCCTTACGAAGCAAGGATCGGATCACCATACTTTCTTGTTCCATCTTATCGGTCATGGATTGGATCCTCAAGTCCATCCATTCCATCATCTTCTCCATCAATCGAAGAACCTCTTCATGTGTAGAATTCATGGCCAGGAACGAACTGCTCTGATACCACTGTTAGAACCCGAAATATATTGAAAGATAAAAGATAAACGTACTACAATAGCTACCAAGTATTAGAGGTACTTGGCTCCAAATTTTTTATGGATGATGTATGTCTGATCATCCACCTAATATACATTTTTGGACATCAATCCAAGAATGAAAAGTAACGAAGAAAGATAATAATAATCAATGGAGTTTTCTGTTACCAATATGCACATGTTCCTTTTTAACGGTGCATTGAAATTGGTGGAGCACTAACCTTAATTATTGAGATTGTTTTAACTGAATCGTTCCTATGGCTTTAATATTTTCTTTTCTTTTTTAATATTTTTTGCTTACCGAAATCTTCTTTAATTGCTTAAGCTTTTATTCCAATAACAGATCCACTGCATGTCCATAAACGTGAGTCTGCTGGTGGATGATGAAGTATTTATCTTTCCTGAGACCTTAACTATTTTTATAAAAATCTTAGGTGATGGAGTCTCATCAAGCAAGCAAGGTGGATGCATCTGGGACTGCTAAGGCAGTTATTTCATGCTTCCAGAAATTAGGTGTTTCTTTTGATGTGGATCAGGTGTGTTGTGGAAACATTTCTACTCTATAATTTGGATTTCTTTTTTCAGTGTTGGCTCTTTCTCTGGAGTTCCTAACAATCTTGTCTATTAGATAAAATTGATCAGGGATCCCAAACAACAGATTGAAATGGTGGGAGTTCCAGAGGAGCATTTATCTGGCCATGCATTCCATATGTATCATCTTGCATCGCCTGACAAAACGTAATATAATCTCCCTCTCTCTCCCCTCATGATGAACAAAAAAATTGTATATATATTCTTAACTACTTTTCCTTGTAATTAGCAGGTGAATGATCTTTACTTGTTTTCTTTGCAGAGTTTCTTTTGAGTTTCAGCATAATGTTTGTGGTAGGTCAATTTATGCAGAGGGCACAATAGATGCTGTTCTTTTCCTAGCCAAAAAAGTAACACTCCCATCCCTTTCTTGCTTATTTTATTTTACTTTTGAGTTCTGCCTGATCCTTGCTGATGGTTAACAGCTGAAGCAGTTATAATTCATGTGGGAAGGAATGTATTTTATAATATAAGCAATACAATGTTTAAGTTTTCTTGTGAACCTGAGTACAGCTCGTTAAGAGATATATATCTTCGACCAAAAGGTTGGAGGTTTGAATCCCTACCCCACATGTTGTTGAACTACAAAAAATGTTTAAGTTTTCTTAAGTAAGGACTGTTAAAGAAATAGTGAGAACATTATTCGGAATATTAGCAGCGACATTTGTAATTACTGAAAAGTTGAAAAGTTGTGTTGACAGTTATAAATAGAGCAGGGAGTTTGGGGTGGGCATAATTTTAGGGAGAGAGCTTGTGAGAGAGAGATAGCTCTCTTGGCAGGCATAATTATTAGTGCAATTTCTCTTTCATATTAGTGACCTAGAAAGAATCATTTGGAGCTTTCTTTGGGGGCCAAAATTTGGTGAGGTGGGAGCTAGCACAAAAACCCATTGAGGATGGAGGGTTGGGCCTTTACAGCATTAAGGATAAAAGCAGAGCTCTACTTGCTAAATGGACTTAGAGATTCTTTGTTGAAGAAACGCCCTTTGGAGAAAAGTTATTGTGGCAAAGTATGGTCTCATTGGTAATCGAACCTCAACCCTCCCTCGCTCCTCTGCTTCTGCACATGGCCCATGGAAACGCATCATCAAGTACAAAGTTCTGATTTTTTATAGAATTACCTATAAGGGTGGGCAGGGGATTGGTCCCATCTTTTTGGCATGACGTTTGGTTGAACAATGTGCCATTGTGCATCTCCTACCCTCTTCTTTATGCTTTTCACTCATCAAAATCAGCCTTTGTGAGAGATCTTTGGTCCACCGATATTAATTCTTGGGGTGTTTGCTTTAGAAGAAATCTTAAGGATGCAGAAATCCAGGAGTTTGCTCTGTTCCTACAAGACCTATCCTCCTATTGGCTTTCAGTTGACAGAGATCAGATTGTTTGGTCATTGGAGCCTCACAGATCCTTCACCACCAGCTCCCTCCTCAAGGACCTATGAAAATCCCACTCCGGCCATTCTGAACCCTCTTTGTTCAGCTCAATTTGGAAGGATTATTATCCAAAGAAGATAAAATTCTTTCTTCGGGAGTCTTGTTTACATACCATAAACACTCGAGACAAACTTCAAAGATGGATACCCTTTATGCACATCTCCACTGGTGTGTATGTGTAGACAGAATAGCGAGTCCGCTGGTCATGTTTTTCGTCTCCTGTCTTTTCGCATCTTGCCTATGGAACAAAATCCTCTCTTTTTGGATGGTCAGTTGCCCTTCCCAAGGATACATTTTCTATTGGCCTTGACACTCGCTGGACATCCCTTTTCTAAGGGAAAAAGTCTTCTTTAGATGCATTTTGTTTGGGTTTTATTGTGGTCTGTGGTTGGAAAGAAATCATCCTTCCTCGAAAAGGACCATCCACCACATTTTCTGTTTGAATATATTGTTTTTCTGGTTATCACTTGGTGTACATGCTCTCCCATCTTTCATTTTTATAGTTTTGTTTCTCTATTAACCAATTGGAGAGCTTTTTTGTAACCCATTATAATTGGGTTCTCTCCCTTTTGTAACCCTACTTCATATCAACAATTTCTTCTTAAAAAAAGAAAAAGCAGTTTCTCTTTCATATTGTAATACAATTTTAGTCTTGTTTTCTTACTTTTCCTTCACATGATCTTAGAATCCTATCGTAGAGTTAGTGCTGAGTTGTGCAATGGAATATATATAATGGAATGCTGTTTGTATACTGCAGATTCAGTCGAAGGCAGACAAGCGGATATACAATATGATTGATGTATTGCGGGAGGGTAACATGAGATGAGCAAGAACTGGACATCGTAAGGTGGCGTTTACAATAATATTATCTCATGTTGGGAAAATATGGAAGTTTTGTTGAACAAGGGGAAAGGGATTTTGAATTTTGACCATTATGGGAGATGTAACTTGTTATCTTATGCTTCTACGACTTCTCACATCATGAGGAAACTCAACATTAAGAATTGTCACTCCTATGCAAACTTAGCCAGTAAATTTTGTTTATATTGTTGAAGCAGCCATCAGAATGAATCCAAGTTGTGTAAGTTGAAGAGCTCGGCTGCAGAGTGAACGGGAAAAACTTGTGATGGATTCTTCGATTAATCTCTATGCGGTTGAAATCAATGATGATTCTGAGCCCTTCGGGTCCGTGCAGGTACTGTCTATTACCACTCTAACCTAGGCAGGAACGGTTGCCGTTAGGTTGTAGTTGCAGAGGTAGAGCATGATTTGTCGGTTGAACCATAAAAGTATTGACATATCGACAAATATTTAATTCCTTGGTTGGTTAGCACATGGTATGTGTTTCTCTTTTCCAAGAATCATGTTCCTAAAAGATTGTTGTTCCTAAAGAGAAAATCACTCCCCAGTTTTAACTGTGACGAATTGTTTGGATCATATTTAGCTTCTCTACTTTCTTTTTAGTTTAAATGTTTGCTTATTTAAAAATGCACTTGATTTTCTCTGTTTTCCGTAAACAGGTTTTATGTTAAATGAATTTTTTAGTAACAGAATTTTATGAATTAAAATTATAAAACCTTTGATGTTTGTTGCAGTTGCTCAATTGTCATTTTGATGAAAATTTTGAAATGTCTGTATTTTGTTTATTAATTAATCTCTCACTCTTCACAATAATTAACCTTATTGAATTGTTATTATGAGTAACAAAATATTATTAATCTGAAATTGAGAATGATTAAATTACTCTTTTAGTTCTTGAGTTTTTACATATAGATACATTTAGTCTCCGAGTTTTCAAAATGTGCAACCTAGTTGAGTATTGAGAATTAGGCTTAAAATGTTGATGCAACTTGGCGATCAGAGTTCTTTAGAGATTGAACCAATTTGCTCTACTTTTATCTTTGTTCTTTGTCTCTATTTGCAATAGTTGCTCCTCTACTCTACTCCAAATGAGATGGCTAGGCAGATATCTAGTGTGAAATGAACTACTCCATATGAAATGGCTAGCGTGAATATCTAGTGCGAAATGAACACTAATCAGAGACATATCGTTGATTAACGATACGTCCAACTGATCCCTCCGTCTGTATTGTAAATATGTGGTCACAAATAATCCAGCCAAAGTAATAGGAATTAGACTTAATACGATTCCAAATAGAAAAACTTCAATCATTTCAATTTAGTTGAACGAGGAAAAAAAGAGGTAATATCTATCCTTAAAATATTAATCTGCCCATGAATCTCAATGACCAAGAATTGGAAATTGAATTGACAAGGTAAAGAACTCTACAATGTATAGATATATGGAATACCACAGAAATGTATCCACAAACCATTCCTACTGACGGTCAGAATTTCTTCGAATATGTCTTTGAATTCATTCGAGACATGAGCAAAACTCAGATTGGCGAAGAATATGGTTCATGGATTCCCTTTATCGAAACTATGTTTCTATTTATTTTTGTTTCGAATTGGTCATATGTTATTATGGCCTACAAAACATCTTTAAAGGTTTTGTGGATAAAGGCAAATTTAGGGTGTAGATTTTGGGGATGCATTACTTTCAAGATTACCCAAATTTTATTTGGTTAAACAACCTCTCAATTTATCCTAAATTTAAGGTGTGGTTGAGAGTGATTTTGACATGGCAAAAATTGCTTTTGTTATTGTCAAAATCACTTCCTTTTCCATTAATCATGTTTGGAAAATTTAAAAATTGATTTCAAGAAATCTTAAAATCACTTTAAATAATTGATTTTTAAGGTATTACTTAACTGTGATTTTGAAAATTCAATTCTACTTAAATGTTTTTTTTTTCAAATCAATCATTTTTATCACTCCCAAACACATCTTTAGTTGGTAGGGAAAATTAAAATGTCAGACCTTTTACTTGGCATGACCTGAAGTATGTGAACGTGAAAAGAAGTCATTAACAATCGCAAAGAAGAAGTTTCTAGACTGGTCATTAAAATAGTTTACTGGATTGTTATCGTAATTTTAAATTTTAATGATATTTGTACCATATACATTGAAGTTTTTAAGGATTGTAACCAAAATGTTGTTATACTGTTGGAATAAAGAACGAATGATAAGTGTAGGATGATGAAATTTAATGTTTGTACTCTTAAGTATCCGTGTGTATTGTTTGAAACAAGTTTCGAATGTATGCGCGCTTTAAAGGATTGTTGGTTTGAGGTTTAGTTTAATATTTTTTAGAATAAAATATTTGGGAATAAGAGGATTGGAAATCAAAGATAATGTGAATGTTATTAGAATTTCATGTGAATATATGATTAATTGTGTTAGTTAATTATACAGCATTAAAATTAAACAAAATTAACTTCAACAATTCAGATGAGTTAATTTTTAATAATCAATTGTTATTAGTTAATTTATTTTTATTAAGTTAAATTCAAAAGAAATGTATTTAATAAATTATATGAGATTTTAATTGTAATTAATTAGTACAATAATCTCATTGAAGAATGAATGATAAATATTATATTTCATAAATCAAATATAATAAAGATTATTGTGTTTGGTTATGCGTAGAAATGCTATAAATAAATAATGTTTATTTATATTTTTGAAATGAACGAATTAATCAAAATTGATTTCAAGAAATATATATAAATTAGTTATTATAAATCATCAATAAGTGATTAAATATAATTATTGAAAAATAATTGTTTATACTAAATTTAATTTAACTAATTTAAATTAATTAATTAAATATATTTAAGATATTGTTAACTAATTATTTAACAATTTAAGTAAATAAGTAACTGCATTTATTTCATAAAATTTTATCAGTAAAAATTAATTAAATATATATTTATTAGTTTTATTTTAGTTACATAATTATTTATTTAATTTACTCAATTAAAGAAATTATATATACATTCCAAATAAAATGGATGAAATAGAAAAGAAATGGCAAAGAGAAAACCCATACTTTTGTAAGGGTACTATATACCCTTATTTATGGGTAAAAGAGATGTTTGGTAACAAATTATTCTCATGTGCAACTTAATAAACCTTGTACCAAATAAGGGAAGTTAATTTCGTCTAGCAATTTCTCCAAGTACTCTTCGACGATGCTCTCTGGAGCCAAGCGGAAAACTTTAGACAACAAAATCAAAGAGATTAAGATAGGGATCTAAGTGATCAAGGCAACCGAGGCGGAAGGAGGGTCAGTTTACTTTGTGTGTAAAATTCTTCCAGAAAAGGAAGTGAAGGTGAAAGTTTTCAAGTTGATAAGGACTCGTTTGGTAACGTTCATGTTTCTTGTTTCTGTTTTTTTTATTTTTAATGAAGAAAAATGCATTGCATGGTTCCAACCTCCAAGAATTCATGTATGACAAAACAATGTTTTTATTTATATTTTGGAACAAATTGGAAATGGGAACAAGAAAAAAGAAACTTGTTTTGATTGTTCCCAAAATTTCTATATAATTGTAAGAATGTTCCAAAAAAATGAGAAACAACAAACAAAGTTAGTTGTAAAATACCTAGATTTCTTAAGAAAATTGGAAACGCATACCAAGAATCTAAAACTTTAAAGGGAGAGTTAAATTAGAAAATGGTTGCAAATAATACTTCTACGAGTTCCATAACCTATATGATAAAAGGTGAATAAAGGAATGTTATATTCTATTAGATCTAATTTAATAACAAAAGATCTAATACATCAGTTAACAAGAATAATTTTAAACAGCAGTCTAACCAAAACACAATATTCAATAAAATCAAGGTATGAGAAAGATAAAATAGAGGAAACAACAGCCTAACCAAAACACAGTATTCAATAAAATCAAGGTATGAGAAAGATAAAACAGAGGAGTTATAAGGGAAGAGAGATGGACACACAAATTTAAAGTGGTTCAATCAAATAAGATCTACATCCACTATTGAAAGTCATCTATTAATCAATGATCAAGAGCACCAGCTCATACACGAAATCAAAGCTTCTCCCTCCGAAAAACAGAGATCTACGCTCTCAATAAACTTTACTAGAATTCCAGCTGCTAATTAACTATCGTTGGTCAATCTCCTGCTCCCTCTTGATTACCCAAAAGAATGGGATCGAGAACCCTAGGGATGAAGAGAGCTGCGCCCTTTTAATCCTCTTTCACTCATGTGGCCTAACCTCATATGCCACATTTTTGTTTTTTGTTAGTCTTTTAAGCTACCATAGAACTTCCAACAATGGTATTCCCATGTAGAACATAAAGACCATTCTATAAAGATTCTTTGGCCTAAACCGTTGCTCCTTTCTGATTATCAAACATTTTTACAAAGACACTCCCGAACCTTTTAATGCTACATTCATGGTGGTTTCCTAGTACCATTCTTCCTCCTACAATTTCTTGAAATTTCTTAAACCAATGTTTATTTGGGGCCATGAAAGGTACATCCGGTGTCTAAAATCCATTCAGAGTTGAAACTCCCTTCAGATAGCGTTAAAACCTCAGCAATATCATAATTTTCTATTACATTTGCATTGTGTGGCTCTTCATCTCTTTTATTTTCATTTTTCTACTGGTTTTTCAACTCAAAACAATTTCTTCTTATATAACCCTTTTTGTGACAATAGAAACATTTCTTAACCCTCCCTTGAGATTTAGATATGTTTCTATTATTATCTTGATTTGGTTTTTTATCCGTTATACCCCTAGCCATCAATGCTTCAATGTCTTTTGCTCTGTTTTCTTAATTTCCAGATCTCTTGATCTCAAAATATTTAACATAATGTCTAATGTTAAGTTGTCCCTCCCATATTTTATACCATAGTTTATAGTAGGTTTCACCTCATTATAGGAATCAGGAAGGAAATTAAGTAATATTATGCCCTTATTTTCATAAAAAAAATTACTTCATCTATATTGCTAAGGTCAAGAACAATCCAATTGAACTCATCTAAATTCTGTTCAAAGTCTTTGTTAACATCCATCTTGAAACAAAAAAAAAAAAACTTTTCCTTTATGTAAAGCTTGTTGGTTAAGGATTTTGTGAGGTAAAGTGAGTCTAATTTGGTCCAAAGTTCTTCAACAGTCTTGACTTCATGTACTTGCCTCAAAACAGTGCCAGCTAAGTACAATATTATTGTGCTAAAAGCAATTTCTTTAAATTCCTCATTGTCATGTGGTGTTAGAGCTTCAGGCCAAGTTGGATTTCCATCTAAAGCTTTAGAGACTTTTTGCTGAACTAATAGAGCCCTCATTTTCTTCTTATAGTGCAAAATCACATTTTCCATCAAACTTTTTGACTTAGAAACTTTGCGGCCATTTTCTTTTTCAAATAAAAGTATCAAACAGACTCAAATTCTCAATCTAGCTCTGCTACCAATTTATTATATTATATTAGATCTAATTTACTCACAGAAGATCTAATACATCAATTAACCAGAATAATCTTAAACAACAKCTCAACCAAAACAGTATTCAACAAAATCAAAGTATGAGAAAGATAAAAACAAAAGAGTTAAAAGAGAAGAGATGGACACAAAAATTTAAAGTGGTTTGATCACATAAGATCTACAGTCACCGTTGAAGGCCATCTATTAATCAATAATCAAGAACAGCAGCTCATACACAAAATCAAAGTTTCTCCCTCCAAAAAACAGAGATCCACACTCTCATCAGCTTTACAAGAATTCTAGCTGCTAATGAACTCTCCTTGGTCAATCTCCTGTTCCCTCTTGATTGCCCCAAAGAATGGGATCGAGAACCCTAGGGATGAAGAGAGAATTCTTCACCCTATTACAATTTCTCACGCACTCTCTCTTTCTGCTCACCATCCACTACCAACCCAACAAACTTTTATCCCAAAGTGGCATAAATAACTTTTCGGGTAAGAACCTATTTGGAGGAGACCCTAACCGAGGTTATTTGAGTGGAAAAGAAATCACCTGAGTTGGATTAAACTTCTAGAGCTGAGTCACCAACATGTGTCCACCTAGATGTACAATATCACCAAGAAATATCAAATACAAATTAGTTGTCAATAATATAACAAGGATAATGACTCTTGGTTTGACGCTCCTAATTCTTGAGGAGGCAAAAGGAAACAATAACTATTCTTCTCTTTAAGTTCATTTATGTTTCATTTTTTGCTACACTTCCATGAACTACCTATAGCTTATTTTTTCATGAAAGCAAAATGTGCTCTAAGAAAATCTAGTAGGAGAATATGAAAAAGTAGATACAAATGAAGAAGAATGTTCTGACAGTCTGATTCAAAGAGTCAGGACCAAAATAGATGTGTACAAACCGCTACAGAGGAGAGTCAAAGTTAAAGTGATGTCAATGGCCTTGGAAAATGAATTCCTGTCACTTACGAGAAGTTGCTACATTACTACTATATAGCTGTGGTAAATTGGGGCATGTTCTAAGAGAATGTGAAAATCACTCGGAAAGCAACAATAATGAACTCCAATATGGAGCCTAGCTTAGAGAAAATGGTCAACAAAAGCACCAAGGAGAGGCATGCACAAGATATGAAGAACGGCAATGGGTAGCTGCTGGCTAGCAAAAGGAGAAATCTTCGGAAAGCGTAAGTGTACATACCATGTTTCTTCTTTTGTTTCATATAACCATTTGTCCTCACCTACTTGTTCGTTTATTACATCCCTTGAGTCTGTATCTGTTCCTAAAACTGTCCATGAAACTTTATCTCATCTTGGTTGGCGGGCTACTATGTTGGAGGATGACTGCCTTAGATGACAATGGTACTTGGGATTTAGTCTCTTTCTGCAGGAAAGAAACCTATCGGTTGTAAATGAGTGTTCGCTGTTAAAGTTCATCATGATGGATCAATTGCAAAAGTGATTTGATACAACAGAACCCTCTTAAAGATGCTAAATAAAGTAACATAGGTAATATTCTGATAATCACATCATACCCATCAAGAAAAGAACCTCACATACTCTTAAGGTTGGTCAACCGGAAGCATAATTTCTCAATGAACACATAAACTGCTTACTCAGAAACATACACTTTCGTGGTTCACTGTTCACATAACTTTTTTCTATTGAGAAACCGAGCTTTTCATTTAGAAAAATTAAAAAAGAAAGCATATACATGGTTCACACGGCCTTTAATCTAAGTGATCTTTAAGGATTTCTCGTAGATAGTTTAGTTGCTCAACCTCCCCGTGCAGCTCCTCCCACTGCAGGAAAAAGAAGACACCATTGATATTGTTTGAACAGCTTCAAATCATTCTATTAGTTAATAAGGACTATAAAGAAACAGGTTTTCCATCTATAAAAATTGATTTTGCAAGTAAGATAATGCATCTAAGTCATTGAGACACACTTGAAAGGATTATTCAATCATTCAATTAACAAATATTTCATATTCAATAGAAGTTTGCAACACAAACCTCCTGGTGAGACACTGATACCGCCTTCCAACCAGCAGCAGTTATGTAGCGACGTTTCAGCACGGTGTGTCCCAAAGGTACCCCTGTTGAAAAATTAGCAGAATCAGCTTACTTTTTGTCAAAAGCACACAAATCAGTCTTACAAGACTTTTGGTTGCTAAGGATTTACTGAAACCCAACCTGTATTTCTTGAGAAATGAGTTGGACCATCAATCTCCAAAGCAACCTTCTCATCTACTAAAACTGCGTCTAAAGTGTAACCATCAACTACATATTCCCTGATCCACTCGCGACCCGTGCTAATGAGAAGGCGGGCTACTTCCTTCTGAAACGATGAAGTCGTTTTCTGATTGAACCTCTTTGTTTTGCCAGCAAGACCGACTTTCTCTTCGAGATCGGCGCTTAAAGATAGTTGAAGATGCGGGTATTCCCGCTTCAAGCAGTAATTTACAAGATACAGTTGAGAAGTAAACATGATATCATTCCTATGCTGCTCTGAAATTTTTTCCTTCTCAAAGTAGTTTATGGTTCTCCAAATGTAAGAAAAGAAACTACGGTTCATTTCCCCGAAAACAGCGTAGGACCAAGCTATATTTCCTAGCTGATTTCTGTTAAATTTGAGCACTGGAAAGCCTAATGCTCCATCTCTTTCAAGATCACTACTGACACCAACAATGATTTCTTGATTACTATTTAATTTTCCTTCCCTTAAAAGGCATTTAAATTGACTTTTATCATTGTAAACCTTATCTAAAGATTCTAGCAAAAGGTCAACAGACTCATTTAAAGAAGCAAAAGCCCACAAGACCTGAGCTAGTTCCTGTTCTTGAAAGGTATAGACTATATCTGATGCCCTTTTGGCCAATTCCGAGAAGAGTTCGGACGCAGAATGTTGCATCGAAGCAAATGCCCCAGCAATGTTAGCAACATTCTGAGAATTCAACTCCTCTATCTTGGTCAAGGTAACTTCTGCAACTCTATCCATTTCTGACAAATAAAGCTGATCACCTCCAATCTTGGGCAATGCCCAAGCAATGTTGGAGATGCCTTGTGCCGAGCATTCGGGCAATGCTGTCATGGCAATACCCACCAGCATGGACATCTCTCTTCGACGAGCGAAAGCCAACCTGTGCGATCTCAACATCGAAACTTTGTCCATGTTCTTAGCAATCCTATGAAGTGCTGTGGCAATGTTCAAAGGAGACAGGGGGGAAGGGCTCAATCCTTTCCCAACAGCAAGGATCATATCAGAAATAACCTCCAAAGCTTCTTCTACAGTCTGTGCTTCTACAATTGCTCGATTCAAGTTGATTTCCTTTTTTCGGTCGGAAGGCCCCGAGAATTGGGACAGCCTGTGAACAAATTCTTCCATTGTCTTCTCTTTCCTCTGTTCAAACATCCCACCAGCCATCATGCTCACACTCTTACTTAAGTGATTAGTGTCGTTAACAGCTAAACTATCTAACAAATCCAAATCCAAATCCAACTCCTCATCGGAATCAAACTCCAGGCCTTCCTCAATGTCATTGCTGTGCTTATTAACTCTATCATCCTTACTTCCCAAAATCTTCTTCTTCTTCTTCTTCTTCTTGTTGTTCTTCTTCTTCTTCACAGAAAAAAGATCTTCCTCAGTAGAGGTGAGGCCTCTTGCCTCAATAGATCTTAGAGCGACCTTCCTAGCCCTCAAGCACCACTCCATCCCCTCAGTGTCTTCAAGAAGCTTCGATTTCATCTGTTTTTTCTTCTTCTTTGGCAGTTGAAAACCTAATAGGAACACATTAATGACTAACTCTTCAGCAACATATAACCAATAATTGGGAGTCAAATAATGGTTAGAGTAGGAGGATAAAAAGTTCAATCGGTCCAAATTTCCTAAATAAGAAAAAGATAATAAAAAAAACAAACAAATTGATAATTTTAAAATCATCAACATCACCAGATAACCACCCATTTTAATTTCAAGCTACAAAGCAATAGGGTAATTAAAAAATAATGGAATTCACTCGCTCCAAAGATTTTTTTTTCCTCTAATATTCTTTTCCCTCCAAGTATTTTATTCAACAAGCACAGTCATCAACAAGCAATGTCACCCTCCAAAATGCCCAAATTTCAGAAACACAAACCCACTCAATGCGGTTCCAAGATCCCCAAATTTTAGAAAAAAAAAACACACACACACAAAGATAAAGTTTTGTATCAAAAGCTTTCTCCACCATCTCCTCTGTGAATCTCTGCAATTATTTTATGCAATTATCACTACTTTTAGAAGGAAAAACAACCTATTCCATTCTTCTCAAAACCGAAACTCCACCGCTACCATTTCATTTGCATTAACTCATTGACGCAAAAACACAAACAACTGGTGATCATAGAACCATAAAACAGCAAAAACTGGATTACTATAACAATAAGGAAACTTCAAAGTTCAAATTCAAGTATAAGACTCTTACTAATCACCCATTGAAGCATCAATGTCTAAACTTGAAATCTCACTGAAAATAAGCAATAAAAATCATGAAAATAGAGATCCTTGGGAGCTCTTCTACTTAATATGATTGGGGAAGGCGGTTTTTTTCCCCTTTTCGTCTCTGCCAAGAGCTGTCAAATGTAGAGAAGTCATCTTGTTACAGAAAATTGCTTCAGTGACTAAGATTGCAGTTGATCAAAAGGGAGACAAAGATAAAAATTAAAAGGATAGACTTACCTAACTGCAGCTGTGGAGGCGACGGTAGGTCGATGGGTAGCGGTGAGCAACTCGCAACGACGACAGGCGAACGGACGAACATCAGTGACGAACGGCAACGGGCAGCTGCCGGCTAGCAAAAGGAGACGAGAGGAGTGGGCTGAATCCCCGCAACGGTGAATGCTACGGGATGCAAGGACGACGGCAACTGCGGCAGGATGCGGCGACGGCGGGATGAGGGACGATTCAAAGAGGGAAAATCGAAGGGGGTTTGGAAGAGAAATCGAAAGGAGGGTGTCTGGATGAAAATGAGAGGGGATTAAAGGATTTTAAAAGACTTATCCCAATGTTTTTAAGAAACGTTGGAAAAAGTCCTCGTCCCCCCTATTTCTATAAAAACGTGGGAAAAAATTATATTTTCCTAACATTTCTATAAAAGCGTGGGACAAAGTTCTCTTTTCGTGACATAATAAAAATGGTGGGAAAATGACACTTCGTCCCACACTTCTATAAAAACACTGGGAATATTTAACGGGCAATTTTGGTATGTTTCAATTTATTGAGCCATCATCTTGACATTTTTATAGAAAGGTCCAAAGAAATCCAACATCTTCCGATGGTTTCTACAAAATGTAGGTAAATATAGACTACTTCTCAACGTTACTATAAAAACATCTCTCCTGTGGATTTTAAATAAGCATGGGGAAAAGTGATCTTTTCCTAACATTTCTATAAAAAATGTGGGGTAAAGTTATCTCTTCCCAATGGTTCTGCAAAAATGTGTGTCGTTCCTAAAAAAACGTTGGAATAAATTAAATATTTATCGACGTTTTCTACAAAAACATCTACAAATATAGACTTTTTCCTAACACTTTTTTAGAAACATCAACGATGCTTATAATTTTCGCGACAACTTTTCTAATGTCGGAAAAAATTCCATTGAAAATACAATAAATTGTTGTAGTAACATGAAGGGCAAAATAAACAAGGAACGACTCATTACGCACACACGTCCATCGACCACATCGCGTGCATGATTCTCAATACCCAACCCATTACTAACCTCACAACACATGCAGGCGCATGCTTGTGCCCTCAGTAAGCCCTGATGCGCGCAGCCAGCGCACTACGCCATGCACGCCTATGTCACCCCATACACGTTCATTGTCGTGCCAATCTCTCAGTGCCCAGGCTACCAATCTCAACGTGCATGCATGCACCTCACCAACGCCCATGCTTGCTAGTCCTTACGAGTGTCCCCCTGCTCCTACGTTTACCTACGACTCCCCCTTGGGCCCAAGAAGCTCTAGCTACCACCTTAATATAAGAAAATTTTTACCTTAGTTGTTTTAAGAAATTTCTTAGAATTATGCTTAGGTTTCATCTTGTATTTTACTTTATTCCTTTTAGTAGTTCAGGGAAGAATTTATCTTTAAGGGAAAATATTGTCTTATTTCTTTTTCTTTTTAGTTTTAGGTATTTATTTTATTTGGTATACATATAAATGTATATATACATATTTATGAAGATGCATACATGTATGTATACATATATATGTACATATATGTACATATATATACATATATAGATGTTATATGTGTATATATATAGGTGTAGATGTACATGTATATAGATGTACATGTATATATATATGTATATGTATACATGTAAGTATACATACATATTGTTTGGGGGTTGAAAATCGTACTGCCACGTGGAGGACAGAAAAAATGTCCAACTTTGGAGGTCTTCCCGTTGGTGGCCGACCTGAAGATCTTCTTTTTGGTGGCCGACCTGAAGTGGCCGACCTAAAGAGCTCCACTGAGGGTCGACCTAAAGAGCTCTACTGAGGGCCGACCTGAAGAGCTCCCCTGAGGGCCGACCTGAAGGCCTTGCCTAATGGCCGACCTGAGGCCTTCCCTAAAGGCCGATCTGAAGGTCTTCCCTGAAGATCATTCATGGGAGGAACAACCTTCCATACTTAGCCAAATTCGAGATGACAAGAGTATGAATTGGAATAGCTACTCCCGACAGGCCGACCTTGGTCCCGACATGCTTAACCGCTGGTCGGATTCCTTGTCGGGTACCTCAACCTATAAATAGGGCACTTCACTCTTCAGTCAGGTATCGTATTCTAGCTCGACCTCCATACTAAGGTCGGACTCAAAACTGACTTGAGCGTCGGAGTGTTTGTTCCCTTGTGCAGGTCTTTCCTCGCCAAGTGACCTTTCAGCTCATTCCTGACACCAGCTCATCCCAGTCAGCCGACCTTGACCCTTTGAGCTGGCCATCCCTTTCCAAGGAAACCCAAGCTCTTCCTGCAGTCATACCTGAAAAGCAGGTCATGCTCTCCCGACGGTCATACTTGGAGTAGGTCGAGCTCTTCCCTGTAGCCGACCTTGACCAGGTCATACCCCGTCACATTTTTTGCATAAACACATATATACATATGAATAATGTGGTTCGGTTGTTTTGCAATTCGGTTTACAATTTTAAATTGAAATCAAACTGCATCGTTAGGTTTGATATTTATCACAAATCGAATCGAACTGCAAAATCGATAAAACCGCATTTTCAATTTGGTTCAGTTTGGATTTTTCGATTTTTTGGTTTCTTCAACTTGGTTATACACCCTACCTTAGCCTATAAATAGGCCCCCTTATAGTTTTGTAAGACACACCCTGATTATAATTGAGTGGGTTTTCTCTATCTCTTTCCGAAGTGCAAAACCCAAGCGTATTCCTTGTGAACAACTTATGATGCATTACCGAGAAGCATTCAAGTTTGGTTGGCCATCAAACTTGTGGATTGTTTTAGCCTCGAGTATAATGAGTCTTCTTTCTACTCTTGGTATTCAACCATCTAAAGATATCTAACTTTTTCCTTTTGAATTGAACCAATTATATCGTTGGGTTCTAGTGACTTTGAATTTTTCGTTTTCCATATGCTAGGGTTGTCACGTATCAGACAAAGCTTTTATACTCAACATCTTCCAAGTAAAACTTAATGGAGGAGTTGCATTAAATAAACTCTAAATTCATTTAAAAATAGCTCAAGTTATTGGAGTTTAACTCAAGTTGCATTAAATGAACTTAAATGCATCTCAAACTTCATTCAGTGCAATTCAGCTATCAATTAATGGAACAATACTTCAAGCTACTTCAAACTACTTCAAGTAAAGTTTTATTTACTCTTGGGAGGTTACAAAGACTTTGAAGGTTGATCAAGATTTCGATTCTCTGATTTCAAGTCCTTGATGTATTATTAGTCTTAAACACTTCATTTAATTTTTTTAGGTTAGTTTTTTCCTAGTAGTTGTTATTACATTGATGAAATAAGGAGTTACAACTGTTTAAATATCTTTAAGTTACTTTTAGGGTTGTTTTGGAGGCATATATTATCCTAGTTTATTCCCTTTAAAAATTTAGAATTTGGTTATTGAATCAAAGTTGTATTTCTTACTTCAAAAACTTAGAGCTTGTTTTCCTTTGCAATTCTTGAGTGTTATATTTGCACGTTAGAATGATACAAGTAGCCCTGATCAAGCTATCTTGTGGAGTGGTTCAAATCTTGAGTTTAGGAACTAGTTTTATGTATTTTTGGTATTTTGATTATCAAGGTAATTTGTTCTAGTCATTCCTTAGGTTGATGTAACTTGAATTTTAGGTTTTAGTTTTCTATTTTATGAAGGTTTTAATTCTATTACGAATTCTTATATATTCAGTTGCACTAGAATTTTTTATCATTAAGGCTTCGAGTACCAAAACAAACTCTTCTCGTTGGAACTCGTCCTTTGGGTTTGACCTCAGGGTGGTCCCTAATGCTTCGAGTGCGGAGGCAAGCTTCTCTTATAGGAGCTCGTCCTTTGGGCTTTACTTTAAGGTGGTCTCTAAGGGTTAGTTCCTTCTATTGTCTCGTTGTTTTTTTTGTTCATTTTGTTTATTGACTTCTTCTTGTTTTACTCTTTTGTGAATTTGGGGTCTGTCGTGAACTTCAGCTTAATATGGTTTTAACTCAAGTTGCGTCCGACTCAGTGTAAGGTGAGGCATTGCTTGAGTTACTAATGTGAGTACAAGAAGAATGGAACAAATTAACTTTTTCATTAACTTTCCCATTTTAGAGGCGCAGTTTCTCAATATGAAGTTCAAACAAGACAAATATATCGTCAAGTTTTTTGCGTTCCATATGTGGGAGAGTGCGTTTCCTTCAAGGCCCCGGCTAGATTATCTTGATCACTTTGTAGGATCAATCCTAGGTTGGCTCTAGGGTCTTGCTTGAATGTTCCTTGGTGTTGGGTATAACCTTGTACAAGGCAAGACCATCAACTTTAAATCTCCACGATTTGACACTCTTGTAGTACCAAGCCGCACGATTTTTAAATTTGCAGCCAAGTGGTCTCTCGATTTTTAGCAGGTCCATGTTGGTGGCCTCGTCGTTAGTTTCCACATTGAACAGTTCAACCCTAGGCAAACGGAGGTATATTTCTATTGGCTCCACCGCCTCAGTCTCCCCTATTGAGGACCAAATTATGGTCCAAGATGCCCACAGGACATGCAGAAATGAAGGATTATTTATACTATTCGCTGCAACCTTCTCTCCCTCTCTTCTCACTAACTCTCCTTACATCACCATTTCAAATCTAGAAAGGAATTTTTTTTTGTTTGTTAAGACCTACTCGTTCTAGATTGTTAGCTTATCCACAACTAACGTGAAAACTGATGCAAGTGTACAACAAAACAATCGGTTGCAATATAAACAAGGTTGTATCCACAAGAACCAAGACTATACTTTGAAGTAGTAAAACAGAATACCCAAAAGAAAAATAACAATAAGATGATTAAAGAATTATGAATGTTTTAGCAGTAAATGACAAAAATGGTAAATGAGTAAGAATAGAAATGTTCTGCGATTCTGTACTGGAGCATCCAAAACAGAGAACAAACTGAAGCAAGTTATGTGATGCGATAAAAAGGTAAATTAAGAGGGAATCACACTAATGCTCTCACTCACGCCTACCTATGCTCTAGTAAACTCAAAATGCTGAATGTCCAAACAGACATGGCTCTCTCCCAAGATACCAAAACATGCTTATTCCCAACTCTTGTTGTAAAATAAGCAATCAAAACATATAGTTTATAGGCACGAAAGGGCGAGCCTCATCCCTGAGTACTCACCATCCTACTACAAAGAGAGGAGTCTAACGCAAATAGAGGCAAACATGCATCAAAAGGACTTTCCTAAGCCTCAAATGAGCTAACAAACTAATAATGTTGGCCGCACATAATCAATAAGATGAAAGAGTTAAAATACCTCTATTAAATCAATATAAAGATGAGT